TTGAGGAAGCATGACTTGGTCGTCAGGTTCCTTAAGGGGGCGAGAAGGTTAAATCCTCCACGGCCCCCTTCTATTCCCTCGTGGGACCTGACTCTGGTGCTCACGGCACTACAGCAGGGCCCATTTGAGCCTTTTTGCAGGCGGTTGAGCTGAAGTTCCTTTCAATGAAGACTTTGCTCCTGTCTTACTCAGTGGGTAGTGCCATAGTAGCAGAAGCTGGTCCTCTTGTGCAGGCCCTGGCCTACGCCAAAAAGTAGGGGCGCAGGTGGCTGAAGTTCCTCTCAATGAAGACTTTGCTCCTGCTGGCATTGGCCTCTATCAAGAGGGTAGGGGACCTGCACTCATTTTCGGTCAACGATTCGTGCCTAGAGTTCGGGCCGGCTGATTCCCAGGTAACCCTGAGGCCCCGGCCCGGCTACGTGCCCAAGGTTCCCGCTACTCCCTTCAGGGATCAGGTGGTGAACCTCCAAGCGCTGCCCTCGGAGGAGGCAGACCCAGCCCTAGCTTTGCTCTGTCCCGTCCGAGCCTTAAGGTGCTACGTAGACCGGACGCAAAGCTTCAGGACCTCAGACCAGCTCTTTGTCTGTCACGGAGGCCGGCAGAAGGGGAATGCCGTCTCAAAGCAGAGGATGGCCCACTGGATAGTGGACGCCATCACCCTGGCTTATCAGGCACAGGGTGTGCCCTGCCCGCTCAGGTTGCGAGCTCACTCCACTAGAGGTGTTGCATCCTCCTGGGCGCTGGCTCGTGGCGCCTCGCTGACAGATATCTGTAGGGCTGCGGGCTGGGCGACCCCTAACACATTCGCTAGATTCTATAGCCTTCGTGTGGAGCCGGTATCCTCCTGTGTTCTCACCTCAAACGGGTAGAAGCACTGAGGGGCCCCGGCTTCGGGTCGGCTTGCAAAACCACTCCAGAGAGTCCATACAGCAGACCCTGTTGAGTTCCTCCGTCCCCTCGGCAGCCAGACGTGGCGGAGCGTCCGGCGCCAGGCCTTCACTCGCTGAATCCTCGAGAACCGGTAGGAGGCTGGGTTCCATATGTAAGACCTAAGTGGATCTCATATGTGTAAAGTCCACGGTATAGCCTTGAGCCCGTGTTTCCCCGGCAGACTTCTGCCATTCCAAGAGGGTTCAATCACCTCCATTCTTCCATATGCACCTAAGGGATGTCCATATGTGTATTGCTTCCGAAACCTCCTTCGGGAAGGTTCGAGCTTCCGTAACGCCCCTGTTCCAAGTAGGACGGGTACGTTTTCCTAGTGTTATCCAGTCTTACTCATTGGGTAGTGCCATTGCAGCAGTAGCTGGTCCTCTTGTGAAGAAGCCCTGGCCTACGCCAAAAACTAGGGGCGCAGGTGGCTTCCACAGGACACTGGAAGGGGCGGTAGCTGTGGCCTTTTGGTAGGATCCCAATTCGTCGGTCCGCCGACGTGACATCGAGAGTGACCGACTGAAAGGGAACGTCTCGGTTATGTATGTAACTCTCGTTCCCTGAAGGAGGGAACGGAGACGTCACGTCCCGTCGCCACAGTTCCTGTACCTCCACTGAGCGGCCGGGTCACCGGCTCGGCTCCTCAGCGAAAACCTGAATATGCGCTGCATCTGCTTCCTACTTATACTCACGCTGTGATCAGCAGCAGCTGGATGCAATAATCACATGCCAATGTGCATTGGCTCGTTTAGTTTACACTCGAAGTAGATTGGTCCCTCTAAGCGAGATCCCAATTCGTCGGTCCTCGACGTGAAGTCTCCGTTCCCTCCTTCAGGGAACGAGGGTTACATACGTAACCGAGACGTTCAGCTGCTTCAAGAACAGCGCCGTTATTACCCCGCTAGTGAGAAATGCCATATAGCTTTTTAAGTTGCTAAACTATTTTACTGATATAATCATCAGAGCAGTGCTAACAAGACGTTTCTCTGCGGGTGTGTGTCTGTAGCACTGTTTGTGTGTGTCTGTATAGGAGTGAGAGCAGGTGAAAGAGAGTTTTCCGTTCATAATAAAACGTCATTTTGAAAAACAAGGATATAATTCATAATTTTTATCCTATTGTTTAAAATATTTGATCGGTCAATGTCGTTATGGGTTTTGGTTATTTTCCTGTAAAGACCTTTGAAATAGGCTGACTGAAATCATTTAGCGAAGTGATATGGACATGTACTAACACGATGTGGAAGCAGAATGTCCGATGACCACATGGAGCAAGTCCCCTTTTTTCGTTACAAACCAATGAGTTTTAACTGAAGGAAAAGTTTGAATGCACATTTAGTCTTTCATTAGATATGCCAAATGCTGCCAACAGAATACATCACAGGATTAAACTTTGAATAATTTTGAATCCTACAATAGTTTAGCATTGTTTAATGTTAACATAATTCAGTGCATCTGTTTTTATTATATTTGCTTGAGGAAAAAAAATTCATATTTGTATTCTGTATTTTTTCTGTTTCTGTTGTGTTCTGGTTTCATATGAGCAGAGCATTTAGTTACAGCATAGATGGCATTTTCTTAAATATTTTATAATATGCATCAGATAGTTTATATTTTACATCATATCCATAATAAATATTAGTATTTTTGATGATATTGCTTTTACTTGACTATATTTACAATGTGACCTTGAAGGAATCCAAAAGTAATCAGATTACCTTACTTTCATATTGTGGTGCTTGGATTACATTACTGAGTACTTTTTTTCATTAATTTCATTTGTAACTGTAACAGAATACACTTTTAAAGTAACCCTCCCAAGCCTGTATGTGCAAGTATATGAGTGCATGTGTCTATGTACAAGATTATCATGTAACATTTTGTTGAGGAGGGCACTAGTGGCATCTAGGAATGTTTAAAAAAAAATTTGAAAAGTACAAAGTTTTTGTTAGTGTTCAAACAAACTTAATTAATCCATCCATCAAACCGCTTGTACTCTGTATGGTTGGGGGAGCATTAATTTAAATAATTTGAAACAATTTTAAAAAGTGGGGGAAAAAAGGTTACAACCATAAGATCACCAAGGGAAAGAGCAGATATGAACTAAAATAAATGAATGAATTAATTAATTAAATACATTTTAAATTATTTATAAACAAATTTTGAAATAGTGATGGAATAATTTGGAGTTTAAAGAAATTTATGCCACATTGATTTATATAAACACTTCTTCACCTACAAAACCTGTTCAATTTAATGATCAAAGTACCACTTTACAATATAGTTTTTACAATATAATTTTTTTAAGATTAGTTAAGGCATTAGGTATCTTGAACTAACGATTCTTTTAAAGTTAATTTCTATAGTTACCAATGAATTTTTACGTCAACTGGTATAAATGAACATCTATCACGATTATAAACAAACATGAATTAACAATAATCAATAGCATACTTATAAAGTAACATTAACCTAGATCAACAAAATGCATTTAAAAGCATACTTATAAATGAACATTAACCTAGATCAATAAAATAAAATTGTTAGTCTGTAAAATAAAACTAATATTATTGTAGCACATTATACGAGAAAATACTGTCTCAGTATTTCAAGTCACAATTAACACGATTAAAACGTCAGTAACCAAAAATAACGTTGTAAACACCAAAACACAAGTATTATTCTGATTTTATTACACTTAGAGCAAGTGCCGAATAGTGGATATAGCTACTGTATATAATACATCTATTGACGGAATAAGGTTGTGATGCTGAGGCGAAGCTAACGCAACCTCTCCAGGAGAAATCAAAACGCGCAACACTAAGACACTCAGCATCCTGAGGTAAAAATACAAAATTTAAAGTTTTTATATTTAAAATACAGTTAGTTAGGCAACATCACATAACGTTTTCACCATTACGACTGTTTAATAGTTCTATAAACAGTTCAATAAGCAAATACAATAATATTAGGTCACTTTCATTTTAGGTGGAACACAGCGTACGTCACAGCAAACAGCTGATTAATTTGATTGATTCCGTGTTTTGAACAAATCGGTTTAGTCAAAGTTTCATTAGCCCATGCATAAACATCTGATGAATCTGCCGTTTGAACGAATCATTTGAACGAACGACTCAATGACTCACTCATTAAACGCTCACTACTGGCACCTACTGGCATTTTAATTTCATTGAAAAGTATCATTTCCACCATCATTTCTTGTTTGTATATTCAAAAATATTTAAAAGAATCTCATAATAGTATTTAATGCAGTTGTATTTTTCAGTGTACATGATAACGTATAGATAATCACATTATTATAATTGAATTTATAGATCAAATGTAAGAGTTTTTTATTTCATATAAAAAAATACATGAAATCAGTCCTGGAGCAATCCAGAAAAGTAATGGGTTGAAAATCACATGTCTCATGAGTTTCTATGTCAAATCTGAAGATACGATGAAAAATTAGATTCCTGCAACCATTTTTCTGAGACTATGTCTAAGTAATGATTATGACTATGACTAAGTAATCACACTCTAATGGCCATTCATATAGACCGCATTCACACTGATAGCTGTCATACAGACAGTAATCACACGCTAATGTGTGGTCATACAGATGGTAATCATGCAGATACAGCCACATTAACCACAAAACACACACACATATATACAGTATATATATATATATATATATATATATATATATATATATATATATATAAAGCTCGATACCACAGAGCCCCCCCCCCCACATAACAAATCCCAATTTAACCCCTGTGTATATATATATATATAAGATACAATTTTAATACATTTGTATGTTGGATTCAAAGGCCACTGCTCAAAAAAAAAAAAACATACACTCAATCTGAATGCTTCCGATTGTGTATGTAAATTTATAGATCAAATGTAAGAATTTGAAATGAAAGTATTAATGAGATTAGAGGGAAAATGCCCTCTATTAAAAAGGTAAAAAAAATGCCCTTGGATAAAACATAAAAAACACGCAGATTTGGTGTATATATATATATATATGTATGTGTGTGTGTGTGTGTGTGTGTGTATATAAATAAGTGTGTGTGTTTGTGTGGGGCCAAACCCCAACTCTCCACCTGAGACAGCTCTGTCTGCACAAAGCCTAATGGGCCAGTCGAGAGTCAATGAAGTGGCAGCTAACACCGCATAAACCTTGAGCTTGAGGGGCTGCACTGCACTAAGCCTCACTGTAAAACACATACACACACACACACAAACAATTAGAAATGCACACACACAACCAAATACACAAATATTCTTAAATCCACACAAACCCATATTAATACATAAACACAGGACTTCAATATCCATTTTTAAGCATTTTTGAGTGTTGCTGTGCATGGTTTGGTCACCAATCTCATATCTACAGTGCTAAGCTATGTCCTTGTTATTAAAAATACAGAATAACCATATGATTGTCATTATTTTGCCTGAATATATGTCTCACCCACCCACATTCAATACATTCTTATGGAGCAGGTGTGAGCATCTCAAACTAATGAGGCCGTTAGACCCTAATAATCCATTTCAATCTAACGCAACCAACTCCCACATACATGCTGATAAGATCAGATAGCCTTGCTCTCGCCAACTACTGTCAAATACAGATACCCTGACAAGGTAAAGAAAGCATGGGATGCTTTGAAGATGATCTTGTTTTGGAATAATACAGATTTTGTGACAGCTTTTGGAGGATGTGATCAGAGGATCCTCAAAGAGGGTAACAGGGCTTTCACAAAAGTCGGAAGCACTCTGAAAATTAATAACCCAATGATGAAAGAGCAAAATAGATTACCCTGATTAAGCACACCTGCAATGGCATGAACTTAAAAAAAACACCATTAGTGGATTTAGAAATTGATCAAAGGGATAGTTCCCTGAAAAATGAAAATGTTGTCATCATTTACTCACCCTCATGTCATTCCACACCCGTATGACCGACGTTTATGTTTAATGTTCACGCTGCTCTTTTCTATCCAATGAAAAATGGATGGTGACCAGGGGCTTTCAAGTTCCAAAAACCATCATAAAAATATTTAATCGTTATATTCAAAGTCTTCTGAAGTCATGTGATAGTTTGAAATTAAAGTTATTCACTGAAAATCTTGCCCTGAAAACAATCCACCATTCATTTTTATTGTATGGAAAAGAGCAGCTTGAATGAAAAGACGAAAGTCATGATGAGCAAATGATGATGGACTTTTCATTTTGCTTGAACTATCCCTTTAATGATTTTCTGTATCACTCTTTGAACAGTTGGATGAAATCTCTGGATCGATACAGCCATGCTGACACACATTCAAACAGAGACAAGTGTATTTATCTGGCTGGCCTGTGGATGGTGGCACAGTGGTTGATTTTCTCATTTTATTGGCCACCGGGGTAGAACAGGCCTGTGCTTGTTCAGAGTCAGCCAGCGAGACACAGTCAGCCTAAGCACACAACTGCCTCACTGGAGTCTCTACCAGTGCCAAACACACTGGACAAAATGGTTGTATGGTTGCACTCCACAGAGGAAATAGCTGATGAAATGATTTAGAAATAATTGGGTGAATGTTTCAGGTTTAAAAAAAAAGGGTCCATTTAATTTTAGTTTAAAAACACTGATATAGTCTGAGGGTCTTAAAATCCCAGGAAAATTTTGAAATTAATTGTGAGGATGTGCTACTGATGATCATATAATCATAGAAGGAATCACTGTATTTTCACTCTGTGAAAATTTGAAGGAACAACTTTTTGAACAGCGACCCTTCCTACTTCAAAGGTGCAAAAATGCATGAAAATGTGAAAACAAGCATATGTGAAAGAAGCAAAGCAGTCTTCGTTGTAAAGGGATAATTGAAAATAAAAAATTCTGTGATCAATAATATATCTGAAAAGCAATTTATGCTTTTAAGACTAAGAATGGATGGTTGAGAAATTCTGGAAATACTGTGTTCAACTCTTACTCACCCTCATGCTGTTCCAAAACCGTATGACTTTCTTTCTTCTGCAGAACACAAAAGAAGACATGTGAAGAATGTTGGTAACCAAACAGTTTTGGTTACTGTTGACTTCCATTGTATGGAAGAAAACATTTCTCAAAATATCTTATATGTTTCACAGAGGAAATAAAGTCATACAGGTTTGGAACAACATGAAGCGTGAGTAAATAATGACAGAATTTTATTTTTCGGGTGAAATATCCCTTTAACAGCATTTCAACTGCAGTGTAGAAATTCCCAGATCCTCACATTGGTTAATTCCATACAACGTAGCTTTTTCATGACATAGGTAAAAAACACAAACACTTTGTTATTAATGACAGTCTTCTGACCTTCGTTTAATAGCAATTCTTGGTTTCCACCTGCTGTGGGAGCTGTGGGAGGACTAGGCCACCCAGTCTGAAGAGAGTTTAACACAGACGAGCTCCTGCGGCACAGAAAAACATGACTTGATCTTGAACGTCTAGAAGCCCATTATGGGCTGAAACAGCATCTGTGTTTTAGACTGCATTCGTCCATGTATGCTTGGGAATATGGTTCTTAACTCAAACAGACAGTTTACGTAAGACATAAGTCAGCAAGGCTTTGGTTTTTGGTTAGGTTTTTAATCCTAGAGGCACATTGACTGACAAATGCAATTATATACACATTACATACATTGTTGCGGTTGCAACAACATGCAACAAACCCATCTATTCCTCTCCCACTCTCTTCAACAAGTTCCAATCAGATTGCATACATTAATATGCAACTTCTGTGTAAGTTGCATCAAATTGCATCATGAGCAGAACTATATATATTTTTAATTGTGGTGGTTGGTCGCTTTACATGGCCAGAATAACATAAGTGTAATAAACTTAATTCTTAAAAGTCAGGCTATGTGAGAGTACTTTGCTAAATAAAAAGGTTAACTGAAACTTTAATAGCAAGAATTTGACCTTACTGAAACATGTTTGTGGTTTGTGTATGAAGCCCAAAACCCAAACAAAAGCAACACACCATCACCCTATAAAACTTCACTCTGAGAAAGGTCACAGAGCAAGGCATAATTCAAGCAACCAATGGGAACACAGCCACCAGGCAACCAGTTCAGCACAACATCCAAACATCCTTAACCCCAACCCACTACCATGCCCTGAGCTTGTTGCTCCACTAACGCTGCATTGTTCAGCTCATTAAGTTGCTAAAGGCTAATTAGACAGCTTACGAGTGGAGGGTAGTAATGCTGAGCGAGGAGGGGGCACGACCAAATCAGGGTTTTCTGCCACACTGTATTGTCTTGGAGGCAGTAAATCCATGAAGTTTGAGATACAAGAGACTGACAAGTCACTGATGCAGCAATGGTGAAAAAATATATTAAGTAATTTTTATGCCACTTTTTTAAAGTATGATGACAGTACATTTGTGCTTGGCCCGACTTTATTTTAAAAAAGTAGAGGCTCAAATCCTATACATATCTAGATATTATATATACCCATGTAGTTAGATACTAAAAGTCTACATATTAAATAATACTAAATATTACTTATAAGCTATTATTTAACAAAAATATTTGACTGCATCTAAGAATTAAAATGATAAAACAGCAATATCATTTCTGATAAAACGCCTTCAAATATAAATATCAAAAGCATAATATTTAGTTGTGGTTCCATATTTAGCTTGTTACTGCATAATTTTCCCCATTACAAAAAAGTAACATTCATTAAAATTATGATATTCAGGAAATTACATTATTTGACTATATCACTCATTTCTATAGTATTACAGGAAGTAAAAGAAAAACTCTGGAGATAAAACCCATTTTCTCAGATCTTACAATTATTGTACTAAATTGATTCAGCTTAAGCTATTATAAGAATTATTATAAGTTATAATAAGAAAAAATGTATGTATATAATGGTATTTTTGTTTTATTTTTTAATATTACATATTTTGTGTATTTAATTTAGATTATGTCTGTTGTTTAATGTAGATGACCTCATAAAATTTTCTCAAGGATAAGTGACCTTTTGATGAAAATGACTTAATTGTTTAAAGGTATTCATGCCCTATGTTGTGGCTTATTATTTGAAAGTGTCATTATATTGTACTTTTAATCTTAGGTAATGTATTCAAATTCCAATTTACAGTGTGTGCTGTCTGTCTACCTTTTTAAATAGTAGTCAACCGGTGACATTATTTCAGGTCATGGCCTTATTCACCTAGCCAAGGATAACCAAACATACAAAGCCTTCACACAGCCCTGAGTAAACACAATAGCCGATGCTCCTCATCTGCCCAGCCTGCCAAAGTCATTCTCTGGGTGTGTACGTGTGTGCTCACCTCATCCTTCCCTCATCAATCCCCCAGCAATCCCACAAGCCAATACTCCGTGTCTGCACGAAGCAACAAAGGCCACTGCCAGCTGAGCTGATATAGATCCACAGGTCTCTGTTCTTGTTCAATCAGGTCATGAAACAAATCAGCAGTAAGGGCACTTTGAGCTAAAAGTTTAATCTTCCATCTCATCTGCTCAGGATGCAGCTATCGAATGCCCGCTTAGTATCCGCTAATGAGGTTAAACTCTCCTCCTTTCGGACAAGGTCTTGCCCAAATGCCTACAAAGCATAACAAGACTTTAAAATAAAATTCAGATTAAGAGTAATCGACACAAAACATGTTTAAGCAAGAAAAGTTCACCGGGAAAAACCACAGATATGCTCTGGAGGATATGATGGCCTTTTGATTGCACTCGTGGGAATTGTTGAGTCATAATGAGGCTGAACCCTTTAATGCCACAGTACTTGTGTGGTCCCATGGGCTAATTAGGCCAATTAGCATACTAATTGCCACACGCAAATCAGGAGCATTTCAAGCAACAGAAGCTGAAGAACACTGAAGCTTATGGACAGCAGCCATCTTTCAGGCTAATTCCCTGTCCACTCTGTGACACAGACCCTCGTTAGTTCTGCAGTAAAAAACATAAGAAGCACATAAAACATTATATACTGCTTGACTGTTGTTTTCTTACTAATTAGCAAAGGACTGATTTATGGTTATGACACAAATCCCCAATAGATTTTAAACTATATTTCCCCAGGCTCTTTCATGCTTCCATACAAATGCACACATATCCCAAGATGCAAAAGGGTCAACAATTAAATTCTGTAAACCACAGAATGAAGTATTTAATGTTATGAAGGCTTTGAAATCATAGCTGACATTTCATAACACTGAATTGTGAAAGGCACTGGTGTCAAAATATAAATAAAAAGGTTTTAAAATTTAAAAGGGGAATTTAGCCATCACATCATCATAAAAATGGATATTCATTTTGAGCTTTGCTAAATATTACATTTAATAGTGTACTGGATACTGGATACTGGATATTTAATTGTGCATGATAATTTCCCGTTTCACCAAAAAAAAAATTATTTATTATTTATGAATTATTAATTAATCAGTAGAAATGTATGCTGCCAGCAAAATATTAAAATATTACAAAATATTATGCTTTTGGTATTTATGTGTTTTGATAAAATGAATATATACAAATTCAATTATAATGCTGTTTTACGATGTTAATTGTTAGATAAAATCGGGAAGATCAAGACCTCTGAGAATGGACAGGCCAAAAACCCTAGTTTAAGACAACTGATGTGTTTAAAATGAGCCACTTTTTATTCTAGGTTAAATTTATTACTGAAATATAGATACTAAAAAAAAGAATCTATAGCAGCAAATAGCCATTGTTGTACCAATAAATTGTCCCTACTTTTTTGGGGATCAATTACAGTAATTGGTAAAATACAAGCCATATGAACTGTAAAGTGCATTCTTCTATTATATGAGAAAAGCTTACAAACCCTCAGTGCTTTGTATTAAAACAGCATTACTTTATGATGTTTTTAATTTAAAGCTCAGGAGTAAGTGAAACCAATTTACTCCATTACACGTACAAAAAAGTGGCGTGTGTCATCTTTTTTCAATATTGTGTAGAAAAACCTCTAAAACGCAGTTCAAGTGTGGTTTGTGGTGAGCCAGCTGTGTGTTTAGTGTGACTTGTGTAAAAAGGCTGAATTGCCATTTGGATACTATTACAAACATCAGCCAAGCATCAGTCACTAATGATAGCCCCAGATGTTAGAGGCCCTACAGGTGGACTGAGTTTCAAGGGTCATTCACAGAAACAACACTGTGCTCTCTAAAGACCTTTGTACACAGAAACAATTATGAACAAATCTAAAATCTGATTGCCGTTTTTAAACAATCATGTTTTCGATTGCTGCTTTAATGCAAGGCTGCACACATGCTCTTAAACTGAATAGCATACACATTTAAGAGATGTACAGAGACACAGTGTGACAGAGAAGTAGAGACAGTAAGTAAGAGTGAGACAGGTAGACAGAGCAGCAGATGTCAAGCCATCGTCTGTCTGTTGTCTTTGACTCTGTTGGCCCTCTGTGATGACTATTTAAACCCACATTCTGCCCTTTCTGCCCTCTGCATTTGCTTGACTGATTTGTGGACTCATGGGACTCGAGATGTGCTGTTTTGTACTGAGCCAGCAATCGACAGTCTTTGCTGCCCTCCCTCTCCACCTTGGCCTGCCCCACGTGCTTCAAGTCTTCTTGCTGCCGCTCTTTGATGTGAGATCAAAGAGGGCCGCTTTGGCACACACAATGCTGGTCAATCAGGTGCAGTGTCAATGTACTTCAGAGCTGTCTATTGCCTAAATAAGTCCAAACTGCTCTTAAACAGCATTTAATTAAGATTTTCTCTTGTCTGTAACACTCAATTTAGTCATGTCCTTGCATTCAAAAACAGATGGATGGAAATAAAACAAAAGATATATTAACTTCCAAGGCTACAATTATATAATGTCCTTGAATTACTTCATTTGGGATTTTTTGAGCAAATAATGACATATGCATTTATAAAATTGTATTAATTAATAATCATATTAATTAACTCAAATACAATCCAAATCAAAATGCAAAAAGATTCTGTAATTGATTTGCAGAAAGGTGCAGAAATTTGTTAATAATGGGGTGTGAGAAATTGTTATTGTAGCTCTGACTGAGCTCCTGGGGCTAAAGCCCTTATTTTATTTGTCTCACGTTCCCAATAACACATAAAAGCCCTGGGTGGAGTAGCGTTGCTTTAACTAGAGCCCCCAGAGTCTGTGAAGCCCTCAGACGACAAGCATGCTGATCCTGCCAGTAATGGGCCTACAGGCCCTTTGTTCAACCCAAATATTCAGATGTGTGCAGCGCATTTTATGGAGGACTGTTTCCTGAACCTGCAGAGTAGTGTGTCTGTGCACAAAGATTGTTTCTATAAAGTGGGGCAGTTCCAACTTTGCAAGGACAGTCCGGCGCTTCTGACTCACACCCTGTAAGTAAGTTTTTTATATTTAAAGAATTTGCCACTGACGATTCAAACACAAGTTTTGAGCAGTGTAGAGTAGCGCTTGTTGTTTGTCGTTTCTCCGATCACAAATGCAGACATGGTTTTGTTTACGCGGCGCGATACGAAATGCAACGCGTAAAAAGACAGTATAAGTCATTATAATCAGTCCCCACTGGATGCAACAAATGCCTCATTTGTAATGGGTTTTATTGGTGTTGTCTCATCGCGCTGGGACATGGCATCACAGTATGGTAAGGGGCGTAACATTTCTGTCACACGCTTGAGGTATTCAGCCAATCACAATGCACTGGATAGCTGGCCAATCAGCGTAAACCTCGCTTTTCAGAATGATGAGCTTTGTAAAAATCGACGCGTTTCAGAAAGGCGGGGCATAGAGGAGCAACAATAAGGCGGGGCATAGAGGAGGAAAATAATGTGTTTTTTTACCTTAAACTGCATAAACACATTGCATTACACCAAATACACAACATAATGTTCTTTTTAGCAACGTCATATGACCCCTTTAATTGTCAAATTAAGCAGAAAAAAATCCAGTAACTAAACACCGCCTACGTAATAACTGAGCTGGGCTGACTGGAGTTTGTTTGAAGACAGTATGGGTGGTACACAGACCTCCCCTCTAATTCACATTCCTTCCATCCGGAGAAGATGAATTAGGAAGAAAACAAGAAAAGAACGTCAAGTCCCCAACCAGGATGAAAGCTCTCAAACTTAAGAGAATATTAGGAGAATAAACTACTTCAGCAGTGGGAGACAAAATATCAAATTAGCCTCATTCAACATCAAACAGAATAACTGAAAGTAAATTACTTTTTTTTTTTACAAGATGTTTTCACCTGCAAAAATATATAAATTCCACACTTATGTACATCAAATATATTATATTATATTATATTTATTATATACAAAAAATAAATGAATAATAAAACAACTTAATATAACATCAGACTTTTTTGCAAAACCTGCTTGTCAATAAATTCTAGAAATATACAGTTATCGCACTGTCACTTACTTTTCCCCACTTCAGAACTTAGATCATCATATATTTTACATATTTTATTATATGTAACAACTAAATATCAATATGGCCCTAGCAAACCTCTAATCTTAGGGACAGAGGGAGGATGAGAGGAACATTCAGTAGATCAATGCAACACTAAGGCTGCTGGACAATCTTCCCAGATTTATGATCTCTATGGCAGACAGTTGAATACAGTCCATCTGCAACTCTCACAATGAACAATATTTTACAGCATCTGCCAGCTGTAGCTCATACATATGCTCTTTTTGTCTCTTACTGGCACCCTTAATTAGGCCGCCCAATCACTTTGCTTCATAAAGGCCGTACTGCCATAGAGACAAGAATCAACTTCTCTTGGCACACAGGGAATAGCAGGCAAAGCAGTGATAACATTTTTAGGATCTGGGCAGATTTATAATTTGACCCTCCTCTGCCATTCAGGTTTGATCATGGGGATTAGTGATATACCCGCTGTATGATAAGAAACAAACAACTTAATATTTACAATGGCAAATTCAATTCACCACCCCCAGGCAATAAAGTCAAACCCAACAGGGTAAGGCGATGTGCACCTTCATCTTGGCTGTATTAGCTGGCTGCTTATCACGGTTCATCTGTACTAATAAGCAGCAATAAACAGAGGCCTTTTTTGGGTTATAAATTAGCACCAGTCAGTGGAGCTGTTACTGTCCCACTGATAAGCTTTATATCTTCTGACTTTTGTTTGCCTCTGTCTCTCTCTGTGAATGAGGTGATCCATGTAATTTCCAACATCAATGAAAACCAGACATCTTACAGTGGTCTCTGGCACAGAGAGAATACTCAACAAATAGATTAAATGATAAAACTGTCATTCTGCCTGTGAATCACTGAATCACCCCAGATAAACTGGCAGGATGGTCCAAATAACCAATTGGAACCAGAATTCCAAACACTGACAGCTCTGTTTCCTGGGAAAACCCTCCAAAGCAGAATGGCACTCCTGTATTACAATGAAACACTTAACTTAAGACCATCTTCTTTATTAAAACAACAATTGCTACAGAGCTCAGATGTATTTCCACCTGTTTATACACATTCGTTGATCACACGTCTAACAGAAAGGGCACTAGATCAGATTAACACATAACTTCAACACATGTTCAACTTCGATGTAATTGATTGCAAGAACGTGAAACTCACTTTGTCAGGCTTATAATACTAACGGTTTCTGCTGAGAGTCTGCTGATGATTGAGTGGTACTGATACAATATATGATCCTAAACTAAACCTAAACATACCGCCATACTGAAAACCTGATGTTTGCCACCACCATCACTGAAGATTTTTATCCTGTGTAATATAGATAGACAGACAGAGAGAGAAACAGATAGATAGACAGACAGATAAATAGACAGACAGTTGTTCATACAAAAATCTTACTGGATTACTATATTTTAAAACGAACTGTAAATCAATTTAGAAATTTTAAACTGGTATTCCTGGTATTTTACTGGCACACTAAAGAAAACAATACAAAAAATACTTTGCAAAGCATCTAATGTGCCTACAACCTTTGCACAGTACTGTATATATAGACAATTGGTGGCTGACTAAATACTTTTTTTCTCCACTGTACATACATACATATTTCACTGAATATAGTCATATGCACTGACGTATATATACATATGTAAATATGTACATATATACATATACTCACACAGAAGGGACACTCTATACTGAACCCAAAATTCCTTACTAATTCCATTCCATCTCTAGCCAATGCTTACCCCATTGACAAAAAAAAAAATGTCTTCCACCTCTTTTCCTTTAGCATCCACAAAATTCTGTCAAGAGACTTTGGGAATAGCATTAATACATAAACTTATTGTAGAAACCCAGGTACAGCTCTGTAAACAGCGAAAAGCAAGTCACTTACATTCTGAGTCTGACCATGCTGTATGAACTGGCAAAGTTTATGCCAAGCACACACTGCCTAGGCCCAGACAGCAGCAGGCATTTACCTACTGTTGCTCTTTATTTCTCATCAGCTCCTAACAATTTTTTTTTTAAATGCCTCCCTAAGGAAAATAAACATGATTCGGCCCAGTGTATACATCTGTCCTTCGAAAAGAATATAAAATATCTAACTGTTTAAACAGCTGTGAGGATACTCTGTCCTTTTGAACATTTTTGAGAGACAAGCACTGAAATAACACAGTTCTTAGAGTCAAGGCCAAAGGGTCAGATATTAGACAAATGACAGATCTCTTTCTAATGACACAACAGCATGTGTGAGAGGTTGTGTACCGGTTATCAGGCCACATGTATCTAAACTCTGATTTACAGTTCATGAACCTAAATTATTCTCAAGCATACTGCAACACCCATACTTACTAATTATGTTACTAATTATGTTAAAGATAATTTTTTTTAAACACACAAACTCTTTTTGAATCTTAAAGAAAAATTAATATAATAAATCATATTATCATATTATATATATATATATAAACACAAATTTTTTTGAAAGGACAGTATGGCCCAATATGCAACTGCATGCGTACACATATACAGTACACACTCACATACACAACCAAGTATAATTTTGTGTATTGAGGTGTACGGATATGCGGTCTATCCACGCATTCAAAAAGGAGCATGTCGGTAACCCACTTCTAGATGAAGTGAAAACTTTTCTAAAAGAACCTTGATGTAGGGCTCTTTTTCCCTACAATATCTCTTCTACCTGTCAAAGTCAGTCATTATTTTTCCTATTGACATTCGTCTCTGATATAGCGTGGCTCATCGGCCCTCTCTGTCGTGTCTTTCATGTTGCAGGTTCTACCCCTCCACCCCTACGAGGAGTTCTGATGTCCTATGAATTTAAGCTTGAGCGTCTCTTTTCCCTGTCCCACCGCACGGCACGAACGTGGGGTCCTTCGCTTCGGTGGCCAATTACAGAGCAAGGTAATGAGGAGCCACCTTCTCCTTACAGCCCAGATTGACACTCTCTCCCACTCATTTGTCAACAAATCAGGATGGATGGCGTGGGGGTGATATTGAGCTGGAGGTGTCGCACTCAGCGACGCGGTTGCCGAGCAGCATCTCCTGCTCGTTATCATTGACAAGTTGTCTGGAGCGGAGAGATTTGCGAATCCTTCGCCTTTGTCATCTCAAGAACATTTGTTCGTGATTCAGTACTTATTCCGGTTATAGCCTACTTGGGTAGACTAGGCCTACTTTTGGCATTTATCTGTGGACTGCATGGGACTTATATAAGAAAATCAGGAGCTGTAAGTTACACTTAACTCATACAAAAAACTTAGTTTTCAGAAAGTCACGCATAAAATAGTTGCAGATATTAGTCTCCTCTTTGGCAGTCCCGTATAAATGAGTATATTGTTAAAAACATTCCAATAGCACCAATAATTATTTAATAATAATAAAAAAATAAGGTAGACATGTTAGAGATGTGAAGCAGTGAGCTTTGCACATGCTCAGGACATATAAGTGCTCTAGGCTGCTGTCCCAATCCCATTCTCCCTTTTCCTCTCTCACATCTGCTTTCCTGTCTGCACTATACTGCCCTATAAATAAAAGGCAAAAAGACCCCCACAATTCTATTTAAAAATTTTAATATTTAATTTAATATTATAAACATATATAAATAAATAAATAATTAAATATATTAAATTTTTTTAAAAATATATAATTTATGTAAAAATATAAATCTTCAAAACAAACTATATACATATATATATATATATATATACAGTATATATATATATATATATATATATATATATATATATATATATATATATATATATATATATATATATATATATATATATATATATATATATATATATATATATATATATATATATATATATATATATATATATATATATATATATATATATATATATATATATATATATATATATATATATATATATATATATATATATATATATATATATATATATATATATATATATATATATATATATATATATATATATATATATATATATATATATATATATATATATATATATATATATATATATATATATATATATATTAGAGCTGCACCAGTGTATCGGCCAATAAAAGTAATTTATTTCATAATCCGCCCTTGGCAAAGAATCTCATGTGATCTGATATACTTACTTGGTTCTTTGTGCTCCTCTGGGCCAGATGAACCCTCTGCCAACAGCCCAGACAAGCCAAAGAGCTTCTTCCCAGCATCCTCAGCTATCTTCAGGGTGTTTGGTGAACCAGTAGGGACATGAGCACCCCCAAAGTCAAAATCTTTTCCCTCCACATCTGTGTAGCGGAGGTGGGGTGATGCCTCTGGTTCCAGACAGCCCTTCAAGCGCTTGGCAGGGAGGAAGGCAGACTGGTAAGCCCCTGCATCACGCTCCTCAGGTGTAGAGGAGAATGGCCGGAAGGCCCCCACCGCTCCGTGGTTGAGCATACCCAGAGGTGAGCAGTCCAGATTGGGTGGAGCAAACTGTGGGTGAAGGTGGAGTAGAGGGGTGGGAAAGTCTCGAGTAGGAAAGCCTCCTGGCCGATGATACATGGAGGCGAAGGAGTATGAGCCACTGGGGAACGGGAGGTGCATGTCCTTTTCCAAAGTTACCGGCACTCCAAACGGCCGAGGGGGTTGGCAGGGTACAGAGGCATTTCGTCCAGCCTCGGCTGTTGATGCCAGGACCATGAGGGCAGGGGAGGTCAGCGGGCTGGGCATGTAGGAGGAGTTCTCCATCTTAAAGGCTGTCCGATGGAGGTCCATTTGAGCAATAAAGTGTCCACTCAAACTCAGTGTAATGTGATGAAGAGGCCTGAAGAGCACTTGACTCAATGCTTATAGACTTAAGCCTTACAGATCACTCATTCTGTGACGGAAACCTGTTTGCAAAAAGATTAAAAAAAAATGTTGAACCCAAAAACACAACTTCTGGTGGTCAAAAGAAAAGCAGTTAAGTAAACAGGCAGACATTCCTTAAAGTCTATATTTTCATGCAGTCATTTTCTTTCTTTAAAAAAAAAACTGTCACATGACTGCGAAAGAAACATTTAGTGGCTAGAATAAGTAGACCACAAATAAGTCCTTAAAAAATGCCTAACAGTGCATGCAGGACGAATATTATTGTGTGAATTTAAACAACAAGATGATATTTACAGAAGTAGCCTGTCCTTTAATAGCCTATAGCCCTAATGTAAAGAAAAACAAAGGGTGAGCTAATTGATGCTAAATAAATTATCTTAGTAAAATGCATAAAAAAATCACTACATAAAATGATAAGTTTCATTTATTCTTGTTTAGACTACCTGTCTCATGTATGGTGCTGGAGCTGCTGTTCTAAATAGCTCTACACTTCCCTGTAGCTTATGTTTAATATTACTCTTAATTTTGTGTTTGGAAATCCCACTTTAAATAGCTTAAGAATCATGATGCTAGTGAACTTTTTGCATTGCTAATTTTAAATGCATACAAAAATGTAACTAGACATTTTTATATCAATTTAAATACCGAATATATTGTTTTAAATAACGAGCTATTTTTATACACTGTCGGTCATTTGATAATAATTGCGTGTCTAAAGACAACAACAATAGCCCAACAACAGCCTATCATAATAATTATTATTTGTAATAATTATATATCCTAACAACAATAACAATGATAATAAATAAATTCTAAATAATAAAAAAAACTTTAAAACTTAATTCAAATGCTAATTAATTATACATATGGGGCAATTTATTATTTGTGCCTGTCATTGTTTTTATAATATACTTAAAACAAGTACAACACTTTTTTTTTCAAGTACAAAACAATTTTTACAATAGTTCGCATAAGCGGTGTGAGTGATTGTCTTCAAAACGGTGAACAAAGCTTCTAAATATTGCCTTTAAGACGTGATACTGAATCTGAAATCTGCTTTAGACTAAATTCAATCTAAATATTACCATTCGGTTGCTGTCAGATGTTAAATTTATGCAACTTTCTGACTTGAAGGTGCTATAAATTGTTCAGGTCACAGGTGTTAGTCAGTTCTTTGAAAAAATGTAATTGTGCAAGAAAAGTTATGTCATACAACTTTTCTTGAAAAAATTATAAATTTGATACATCTTGCGATCAAAGTTTTAGTGCATTCCGGACAAGTTCACTAATAGTGCTTAGCATACGACAACAACAAAATAAAACTGATCCTTATAAAACTAAACATCTCGCATAACTCAACAAGAAAGACTTGCGAAAACATAGGCTTATTGCCCAAAAATATCACATTAGTTAAATATAGCCTAGTAAACACTCATTGTAATACTCACAATAATGTAGTCAAACATCTTTATCATCTCAGTCGGACATCAAACTTGTTTTATCCAAGCTCGAACGCAGGTGATGCCGGTCAGAAGAGTTCGCCAATGACTGAAATAACTTTTTTTTACGGTTTTGAAAAGAATCACGGTGGTTTAAGGAGTTGAGCGGATTAGTGACAAAGATTATACAGATGCGCGTGTTGTGTCAACATCCGATCCGAGCGCACTTCTGTTAACGCTGGCGAGTCGCTCACTGTACCGCCACGCGCGCGCTCCTTCTCTCTCTCTCTCTCTCTCTCTCTCTCTTTCTCTCTCTCTTTCCTTTCAGCCCGTCCCGCTCTCTTAACTTTAAATTTACCATCTTCCACCTCCCTGTCCGACTTGGATATTTTCTCAAATGTAGATCTCCATCCGGCGCCTCTACAGTGAATGTCAATTTATCGGAGACTTATTATAAATGAACACCAACATTTTTTTTCCCAATGCCTCAAACATACCTTTTGCATGTGTATTTCGAACTCAGTACACTATCACGGGTATCCATCTGCTGGTTAAACGCCATATAGCACCTTTAGCGGGGCATTCAATTGACTTAATCTGCCATCCTTCACACCGAGTAAATTATTGTATTACAAACAGTGTAAACAGTTCCACAAATATAAAATATGTTCAGTTGTTGAATGACAAATTGAGAATTTTTTCCATCCGTTTCAGAATCATTTCTAATTTGTTAATGAATGAGTGTAATAATTTATTATATATGCAGTCTTACAGTCAGCTGACCAATATTAATATAATTAAAATGTTTGACTTGGGCAGCATAAATAAAAACAAACATACATACTCATACATTTACTGAAGACTTTGGCCATCCTGTCTCATAATGAGAAACTGTTCGTATAGAGAGAGGCAACATAAAATAAAGTTACTCTCTCATAAAGAACTAAGGTATTAGCTTGAGTAAATTAAATCACAGTTTAATAGAGGTTTCAGACCCGCTAATTATGACTTCCAAGATCATTAACAAAGTCTTTTAAGTCTCTAGCTTCATAATCCAAGTTCTTAAATGAAAATAAACGAATACATTTGTATGCTAGAAGGCATGTTTTTGAATATTGAGTCTTACTCTTGTTTTTGAGATTAATTTATTCAGTGGTGAATCAAATTACATCAGTTAATTTTGCAAAGCCATGAACCTAATTGGAGTTTAATTGCTGTTTGTAAGTTTTCGGGACAAGCAAGAGAGCAGTGTCTTTTGTCGTGGGTAAAGATGCATCATATAATGTCACGCACTGGCAGAAAGCTTTGTATAAATTGCATATATTTAGTTCTGGAGGAGTTACAAATAAAATGTTATTTTATTTTCTCTCCATATATATATATATACATATATAGATAGCCTATATATATAGAGAGAGAGAGAGAGAGAGAGAGAGAGAAAGAAAGAAAGAAAGAAGATATTGTTGGCAGACTCAGGATGGAGAACTGTAGTAAGTGTCAAAGTGATGAGCTGTCTGCGCTGCCTTACCATCTGTGCATATGTATGCGTGTGAATCAGAGAACTCCCAAAACAGGCAGAAGGCTTGAGTGTGACAAGGAATACAGCGAGACACATTATGGTGTCCATCATTGATCACTTCCTCCCAGGAGTCTTGGCGCCTGCTACCAGGAAACAAATGGTTAAAATATGATACTCCCCTGTTCTCTCCCCCTCGGTGTCCCAGCAGCACCTTACAAATTCACATCATATTCTCTTTCACTCAGAGTATCCCACAACCACATCTCCACAACAGAATGGAAACAATATGGTCTTAAAATCTGACATCATAGAATATTTTCTAAACAAGAAAAGCAACAGAAAAACTTTATTTTCTTTCTGTGCTCAAATAATTTCACATGCATAAGGGTTTCTAAAACGGACAAGGACATGCAGCAAATCAGAGCTTAGGGGGCTGAACAAGAGTGTATGGGCTGTGAAGTGTGTAACAGTGAAAGGCAATGACAGGCTGAGACCCCCAAACCCACTGTCTCCTCCTCCCCATCTCCCTCTGTAAGCTCTGTCGCTCCTCACCACAGAGCTGACATTGACATGACACTCCCAAAATAATGATCAACAAACACTCCTTGGCCGAGCGCAAACGGTCTTCTCCCTTCCCCACAGTGTCAGCAGTGATTAACAAAGACCCCTGCATCACTACAGACAGAAACACCTAACGATGGAAGGTGGAACGCACCGAAAAAACTCAACATGACCAACTTACTTATACGGGGCTACTGTGTTCACACTGTTACCGGAAGCAAAAATACATACTAAACATTGCTTTATAACACAAATGTAGGGGAAATGTGTAGGAAAAGTCATTATCCTCACCCGTATTCATGTCTTCAAAAGCCCTATAGACATACCAGGCCGCACTTCTGTTCACTGACGTTCCTACATGTTACCTTTAGGACACAGAGAATGAGAAAGAATGATATTACATCCCTCCACAATTACCAAGCTAAGCGAATATTAAAATGTCTGGCTCCATCAGTTGAGGCTATCGTGATTGGTATTTTAACCTTTGACTACAGTACAAAGGAACCAGCTCTTGGAACCAATATTGGAAGGACGGAATCTAATTCTGGAATGATCCTTAGTAATGAAGGGGCTGCCGAGGGGGCTGGATAATGCATACATGAGATATTATTTTGGGGCTGAAAGTGTTGGGGCAGAGGGGGCTCTCAGAGAGTTGAATAATCACAGGCAATGAGGTGTAGCCTGTGTGATAGAAACACCTTACTGTCTCGCCCGAGGACAGCACACTTAAATCAAATACAAATGATTATTATGACATGCAAATACCACTTATGTTTTTTGTACATGTGTCATGGGGCTTTATTTTCAGATTTTCAGTGCTGTGTAAAATACTGTCTGTGACTTGAATGGACAGTTTGTCATTGAAGAGCTAAAAAAAAATAATAAAAGCATGTAATATTTTATGTAATATATAAGTGATGTAATATTTTTAATGTTAAATACTTGCTTATAAAACATGCGCTGTTTGAGCATCCTGATCAGTCTAACATACTGTAGCAAGATTGGCTCAACCAGCAGAATTAGTTTGGAGAGACTTCCTGTTTGTCAGACCAATGAAAGACAGGGAAAACTTGTTTGAAAACATTTATTTTTGCAGTTCCATTCTGTGATACTGTTAACTAAAACTATTCAAATGTGTTTTTGTTCATTGAAATAAAGCTGAAATAAATAAAACTAAAACTTTAAAAAAATGTTTCCATAGCAAACAAATGAAATTAAATAAATTGAAATAAAACTCTATAACTCTATATTTAAAAACACAATAAACTAATAAAAATGAAAAAGTACATAAAACTATAGAAACTGTTCTGACAGTGATGTATGTAGAATGATGTATGTAGTCGAAATATGCCTGATAAGCAAATGCACATCAGATTTGAAAGAAA